ACACAGTAAAAAGAACATACACACAGTAGAAAGAACACACACACTCTGTAAAAAGAACACACACACACACAGATCCTGGTTCGTGTCCCGCTCCTGTCCTCACAGCGGCTCTGAGGTGTCGCTCTGAGGAGCCGTCCACAAAACTAAATTTATTTGTGTATCGCTCTAAATCACAACTGTCATTTTCTCTGAGGACTTTACAAAACTGTCGATTCACCGGACTCAGGCTATAGACCCAGAACTGAGGCTGTAGACCCAACACTGAGGCTGTAGACCCAGGACTGAGGCTGTAGACCCAGGACTGAGGCTATAGACCCAGAACTGAGGCTGTAGACCCAGGACTGAGGCTGTAGACCCAGGACTGAGGCTGTAGACCCAGGACTGAGGTTGTAGACCCAGGACTGAGGCTGTAGACCCCCCAGGACTGAGGCTGTAGACCCAGGACTGAGGCGGCTGTAGATCCAGGACTGAGGCTGTAGACCCAGAACTGAGGCTGTAGATCCAGGACTGAGGCTGTAGACCCAGGACTGAGGCTGTAGGTCCAGGACTGAGGCTGTAGACCCAGGACTGAGGCTGTAGACCCAGGACTGAGGCTGTAGGTCCAGGACTGAGGCTGTAGACCCAGGACTGAGGCTGTAGACCCAGGACTGAGGCTGTAGGTCCAGGACTGAGGCTGTAGACTCAGGACTGAGGTGGCTGTAGATCCAGGACTGAGGCTGTAGACCCAGGTCTGAGGTGGCTGTAGATCCAGGACTGAGGCTGTAGACCCAGGTCTGAGGTGGCTGTAGATCCAGAACTGAGGCTGTAGACCCAGGACTGAGGTGGCTGTAGATCCAGGACTGAGGCTGTAGACCCAGGACTGAGGTGGCTGTAGATCCAGGACTGAGGCTGTAGACCCAGGACTGAGGTGGCTGTAGATCCAGGACTGAGGCTGTAGACCCAGGTCTGAGGTGGCTGTAGACCCAGGACTGAGACTGTAGATCCAGGACTGAGGCTGTAGACCCAGGACTGAGGCTGTAGACCCAGGACTGAGGCTGTAGATCCTGGACTGAGGCTGTAGACCCAGGACTGAGGTGGCTGTAGATCCAGGGCTGAGGCTGTAGACCCAGGACTGAGGTGGCTGTAGATCCAGGGCTGAGGCTGTAGACCCAGTCCTGAGGCTGTAGACCCAGGACTGAGGCTGTAGACCCAGGACTGAAGCTGTAGATCCAAGACTGAGGCTGTAGACCCAGTCCTGAGGCTGTAGACCCAGGACTGAGGCTGTAGACCCAGGACTGAGGCTGTAGACCCAGGACTGAGGCTGTAGACCCAGGACTGAGGCTGTAGACCCAGGGCTGGATGCAGTGATCTGACACGAGCTTCTCTGTGAATAATATTGTTTTAATAAAAGTCTTAATCATAAACGTTTTCTTGTGCACACTGAAGAACAGTCTTTATGCAGCAACATTTTCCTCTTTTTATTTTTAAGTTCTTCTTTGCTGATAAACGTGGGCTTCCTGTGTTATGTTTCGCAGCTGATCTGATAAGGACTGACGAGTTAAAGACCTTATGACGGGTTTGATTTATTTAGAAATACAGTTTTAATACCATTTTATATTATAAGATAACTACTAAAGGTTTCAAAATCAGTTGTTGTTTTTTTTGTCTGATCCCCCCAAATCGAAATAACCCCATAGCAACGCCCTTAGAGACGAAAAAACTTCACAGCCCTTGGTGACGTCAGAACGGGTACGTTTCAACGCTGTAAGTTGTTCCCAATTTGGTATTCGTTCTTTTTTCGCGGATATTCAAGATGACAAGGCCGTGTACAGCGAGTATGAAATAACTACTAGAATGTATCATTTTGTGTTCACTGAGATAGCCCAGTGGTTGTGTCGATGGATTGTCAATTCAGATGCTGGGGTTCAATTCCCACCTCGGACACTTTTTCACACTCAAAACGGCAATTTATGTGTAGTGAGCAATTGTCACCTGTAGAGTGCAGTATTGAGTTGGGCATCAGTGGAGAGAAGAGAGAAAAGGCAGTCCTGTGGCATAGATCCATGGTTTTCAATGCATGGGCGTTACCCGCTATGACGTCACACAGGTTAGAGCATAGACAACTTAAATTCATGAAAAACACGTTCTTTTTATAAAATATAGGATTTTTTTTGCCGGAATCTCTTTCAAATTGACATTGTCATGCAATTTTGATATCCACTATTTTTTTTTTAAAAAACCCGTCATAAGGTCTTTAAAGAAGGCGCTTCACTTCTGCTTTTTTCCACTTCTCAGAACTAGCCTCAGTCTGCAGCCTTTTCATTCAAGGCAAGTTTATTTATATAGCACAATTCATACAAAAGGCAACTCAAAGTGCTGAACAAAACAAGAAAGCATTAAAATCATAAATAATCACAGAACATTAAAAAGAAAGCTAAAAATATAAAATCCCTCAGTTTAATGCACAGCTAAACAGAACTGTCTTTAACCTGGTTTTAAACATTGTCAGAGAGGAGGCCTGTCTCACATCTTCAGGAAGACTGTTCCAGATTTTAGCAGCATGAATCTGAAAAGCAGCCTCCCCATGTTTAGTTCTGACTCTGGGCACTAACAGGAGTCCAGTCCCTGTGCTCCTCAGAGTCCCAGCAGGAGTCCAGTCCCTGTGCTCCTCAGAGTCCCAGCAGGAGTCCAGTCCCTGTGCTCCTCAGAGTCCCAGCAGGAGTCCAGTCCCTGTGCTCCTCAGAGTCCCAGCAGGAGTCCAGTCCCTGTGCTCCTCAGAGTCCCAGCAGGAGTCCAGTCCCTGTGCTCCTCAGAGTCCCAGCAGGAGTCCAGTCCCTGTGCTCCTCAGAGTCCCAGCAGGAGTCCAGTCCCTGTGCTCCTCAGAGTCCGGGCTGGTTCATATGGACTAACATGTCACTAATATATTTTGGTGCGAGGCCATGGAGAGACTTGTACACGAGCAGAGCTGTTTTAAAGTCTATTCTCTGAGCCACAGGAAGCCAGTGCAGAGACCTGAGGACTGGACTAATGTGGTCATACTTCCTGGTTCTAGTCAGGACTAATATGGTCGTACTTCCTGGTTCTAGTCAGGACTAATATGGTCGTACTTCCTGGTTCTAGTCAGGATTAATGTGGTCGTACTTCCTGGTTCTAGTCAGGACTAATGTGGTCGTACTTCCTGGTTCTAGTCAGGACTAATGTGGTCGTACTTCCTGGTTCTAGTCAGGACTCGAGCTGCTGCATTTTGAATGTACTGCAGCTGTTTTACAGCCTGTTTGGACAGACCTGTGAGCAGGCCATTGCAGTAGTCTAACCTACTGGAGACAAATGCATGGATAAGAATCTCCAGGTCTGCTTTAGACACTATGTTTTTGATCCTGGCAATGTTTTTTAGATGGTAAAAAGCTGCTGATGTTACTGATTTTATGTGGCTATTAAAATTTAAGTCTGAGTCCAGTATTACCCCTAGATTTCTGACCTTGTTTGAAGGTTTTAGGGAGAGAGACTGTAGGTGACAGATGACGCTCTCTCTTTGTTTCTAGGGACCAAAGACAATCATTTCAGTTTTGTCTGCGTTTAGCTGAAGGAAGTTGTTTTGCATCCACTCACTGATCTGTTGGATACAGTGAAGGAGTGAGTCCACTGGTCCATGTTCTCCTGCAGTCAGTGAGACATAGATCTGAGTGTCGTCTGCATAGTTATGATAGGACACTTTGTTTCTGCGTATTAACTGACCTAACGGCAGCATGTAGAGATTGAACAGAAGAGGTCCCAGGATCGACCCCTGTGGGACTCCACAGGTCAGGACCATATGATCTGAGACACAGTCTCCAATCTCCACAAAGTACTTCCTGTCTTCAAGGTAAGACCTAAACCAACTTAGGGCGGTGCCAGCGACGCCAACCCAGTCCTCTAGTCTCTGTAAGAGGATCTCATGGTCGACGGTGTCAAAGGCAGCACTCAGATCTAACAAGATTAAGATTGAGACTTTGCCTGCGTCAGTGTTCAGCCGGATATCGTTTGTAACCTTAACGAGAGCAGTCTCAGTGCTGTGGTGGGGTCTAAAGCCGGACTGAAACATATCAAATGAGTTGTTGATTATAAGAAATCTAGTAAGCTGTAGGTAGACAACTTTCTCAAGGACTTTCCCCATAAATGGCAGATTTGAGATGGGACGATAGTTGTTAAGTACCGTAGCATCGAGACTGCTCTTTTTTAGCAGGGGCCTGATGACTGCATTTTTCAGGGCCTTTGGGAATACTACTACTACCACTACTCTATTAGTACTACTACTTCTGACTTATGTTATACTACTACTCCCAGAGAGAGACCATGAGAGAGACCAGAGAGAGAGGGAAAGACAAGAGAAAAAGAGGGAGAGAGAGGGATCAGAGAGAAACCAGCGCAAGACCAGAGAGAGACAGAGAGAGAGAGAGAGGAGATACCAGAGAGAGAGAAAGTTAGAGAGAGACACCAGGGGGACCATAGAGGGACCAGAGAGAGAGAGAGAGTAGCGAGAGAGAGAGACCAGAGAGAGAGATGACAGAAAGACCAGAGAAAAGCCAACAAGACCAGAGAGAGACTAGAGAGAGAGAGACCTAGGAGAGACCAGCGAGCGAGAGACCAGCAAAAGAGACCAGAGAGAGAGTGAGAAACCAGAGAGAGAGTCAAGAGAGAGAGACCAGGGAGACCAGTTAGAGAGAGACCAGCGAGAGAGAGACCAGTAAAAGACCAGAGAGAGAGACCACTACCACTACTACCGCTTGTCTTACCACTTCTACATTTAGAACTAGCTTAAGCAGTTTTTAGCTACTTTTTAGCCTCTGAGGAGTTGGAAAATGGTGAAGATTCCAGAGTTGAACTTTTGAAAAGACTATGAGGACAAGCGCACATGGTACAACCGTGAAACCCGAGAGCTGTTTGTTTAGTGTTGTGTTTCTGAGTCCATGGTTTCTCTCTGAGCAGCGGTACAAAAGGCACAAAGAGCAGAGCGAGTAGCAGCAGGTCTGAGGCTGGACTTCTCACGAACATCCTCCCACTGGACGTGAGCCAGACTCTGCTGAGACTGTACTGCTGAGACTGTACTGCTGAGACTGTACTGCTGAGACTGTCCTGCTGAGACTGTATTGCTGAGACTGTAGTGCTGAGACTGTACTGCTGAGACTGTACTGAGACTGTACTGCTGAGACTGTACTGCTGAGACTGTACTGCTGAGACTGTACTGAGACTGTACTGCTGAGACTGTACTGCTGAGACTGTACTGCTGAGACTGTACTGAGACTGTAGTGCTGAGACTGTAGTGCTGAGACTGTACTGCTGAGACTGTACTGAGACTGAACTGAGACTGTAGTGCTGAGACTGTACTGCTGAGACTGTACTGAGACTGAACTGAGACTGTAGTGCTGAGACTGTAGTGCTGAGACTGTACTGCTGAGACTGTACTGAGACTGTAGTGCTGAGACTGTAGTGCTGAGACTGTACTGCTGAGACTGTACTGAGACTGAACTGAGACTGTAGTGCTGAGACTGTACTGCTGAGACTGTACTGAGACTGTACTGAGACTGTAGTGCTGAGACTGTACTGCTGAGACTGTACTGAGACTGTAGTGCTGAGACTGTACTGCTGAGACTGTACTGAGACTGTACTGAGACTGTAGTGCTGAGACTGTACTGCTGAGACTGTACTGAGACTGTAGTGCTGAGACTGTACTGCTGAGACTGTACTGAGACTGAACTGAGACTGTACTGCTGAGACTGTAGTGCTGAGACTGTACTGCTGAGACTGTACTGAGACTGAACTGAGACTGTACTGCTGAGACTGTACTGAGACTGTACTGAGACTGTAGTGCTGAGACTGTACTGCTGAGACTGTACTGAGACTGTACTGCTGAGACTGTACTGAGACTGTACTGCTGAGACTGTACTGCTGAGACTGTACTGCTGAGACTGTAGTGAGACTGTATTGAGACTGTAGTGCTGAGACTGTACTGCTGAGACTGTACTGAGACTGAACGGAGACTGTACTGCTGAGACTGTACTGAGACTGTACTGCTGAGACTGTACTGCTGAGACTGTACTGCTGAAACTAGAGAGTCAGAGAGGGAGAGAGAGAGAGAGCAGAGAGAGAGAGGGAGAGAGGGAGAGAGAGAGAGAGAGAGAGAGAAAGACCAGAGAGAGACCAGAAAGAGACCAAAAAGAGAGGCCAGAGAGAGACCAGAGAGAGAGACTAGAGAGAGAGACTGGAAAGAGACCAAAGAGAGAGCCCAGAGAAAGACCAGAGAGAGACCAGTGAAAAAGAGAGTGACCAAAGAGAGAGAACAGAGAGAGACCAGAAAGAGACAAAAAAGAGAGCCCAAAGAGAGATAAGAGAAAGAGAAAAGAGAGAAAGACCAGAAAGAGAGTGACCAGAGAGCGACCAGGGAGAAATCAGAGAGAGACCAGAGAGAGAGACCAAAGGGAGAGCCCAGAGAGAACCCCGAGAGGGACCAGGGAGAGACCAGTAAGAGACCAGTAGAGAGACCAGTAAGAGACCAGAGAGAGACCAGAGAGAGACCAAAGAGTTCCACCTGTTCTCACCGACTCCTCCTTCGGCCTCACACTAAAGGCCTGTTCACACGTGGGCTGTGTCTCCACATGTCCGCTCTGAGTGCACCATTATCTCTGCCCGCGGGACCTGGAGAAATCCTCCTGGTACATCATGCTCCGAGTTTACAAAGTCATTACAAACACCTCCCAACAACCACCAACCACAGGAGCAAAAACATCTGTGATCATTTATGTCAAAACTGTAATGGATATATAATAGTTACTCTACTCTACTCTAATCTACTGTACCCTACTCTACTCTACTCTACTGTACCCTAATTTACTCTACTCTACTCTAACCTATTCTACTCTACACTAATCTACTCTACTGTACTCTACTCTACTGTACCCTACTCTACTCTACTCTACTCTACTATGCTATATCCTACTATACTCTACTCAACTCTACTTTACTGTACTCTACTGTACTCTACTCTACTCTTCTCTACTCTACTCTACTGTACCCTACTCTACTCTACTCTACTGTACCCTACTCTACTCGTCTCTACTCTACTCTACTGTACCCTACTCTACTCTACTGTACCCTACTCTACTCTACTCTACTAAACCCTACTCTACTCTACTGTACCCTACTCTACCCTACTGAACTCTACTCTACTCTTCTCTACTCTACTCTACTGTACCCTACTCTACTCTTCTCTACTGTACCCTACTCTACTCTACTCAACTCTACTCTACTGAACTCTACTCTACTCTACTCTTCTCTACTCTACTGTACCCTACTCTACTCTACTGTACCCTGCTCTGTACTCTACTCTACTCTGTACTGCTGAGACTGTACTGTTCTATATTCTTTTTGTAAGTAAGTAATCTTTTAGTAATCTTTATTTATATACCGCCTTTTCACTGCACATCGGAGCCTCAAAGCGGTTTTTGTGTTTAAACTGTTAATTCTCTGATCTGTGTTACTGATTTTTAGTTAAGTCTCTGAGATGATGCTGTTGTGACTTGTATTGTGCTCTACTCTAGTCTACTGTACCCTATTCTACTCTAATGTACTATACTGTACTGTACCCTACTCTACTCTACTCTTCTCTACTCGACTCTACTGTACACTACTTTACTTTACTCTACTCTACTCTACACGACTCGACTCTACTCGACTCTACTCAACTCTATACTACTCTTCTCTTCTCTACTATACTATATCTTACTGTACTCTACCCTACTCTACTCTATACTACTTTACTCTACTCTACTCTACCCTACTCTACTCTACTCTATACTACTTTACTCTACTCTACTCTACTCTACCCTACTCTACTCTACTCTATACTACTTTACTCTACTCTACTCTACCCTACTCTACTCTATACTACTTTACTCTACTCTACTCTACCCTACTCTACTCAACTGTACCATACTTTACTTGACCCTACACTACCCTACTCTACTGTACTCTATTCTACTCTACCCTATTCTACTCTATTCGACTGTACACTACTCTACTGTACCCTACTCTACCCTACTGTACCCTACTCAACCCTACTGTACCCTACTCAACTCTACTCCTCCCTGAGGCTGTAGACACAGGACACAAGCATTTGCGCTGGAGAGACTCCAGCTACTGTATAATACTTTATGGTTAGCTTTGCTCCCACACAACCTGTATCTGTGCTATTGTTTGTTTCAGAGAGACTTCTGTCCGTCCACATCACAGAGAATGTTCTGTGCACAAACAAAAGGAGGACAGAGAGAGGATGATATCTCCGAAGGTTCATCACAACAATAATCACTGCTTGTCATCTCTGTTTGCCAAAGAAATCTTTCAATTCAACAACAGATTTATTTCACAACAGATGCCGAGTAATGATCCAGTAATGACAGGCTGCGGTTCAATCAAACAACATTCTTTCTTAGACGGTAATAAAGGACAGAAGAATTCCACCTTTAATGACTGTTATCTCTGCAACTGACTTTGGGTTTGAAGTATTTGGGAGAGTAGAGTTGAGTAGAGTAGAGTAGAGTAGTGAAGAGTAGAGTAGGGTAGGGTCAGCCTCATTCTTGGATCTACAGCCTCTTTCCTGGATCTACAGCCTCAGTCCTGGGTCTACAGCCTCAGTCCTGGGTCTACAGCCTCAGTCCTGGGTCTACAACTTCAGCCCTGGGTCTACAGCCTCAGTCCTGGATCTACAGCCTCAGTCCTGGGTCTACAGCCTCAGTCCTGGGTCTACAGCCTCAGTCCTGGATCTACAACTTCAGTCCTGGATCTACAGCCTCAGTCCTGGGTCTACAGCCTCAGTCCTGGGTCTACAGCCTCAGTCCTGGATCTACAGCCTCAGTCCTGGGTCTACAGCCTCAGTCCTGGATCTACAGCCTCAGTCCTGGGTCTACAGCCTCAGTCCTGGATCTACAGCCTCAGTCCTGGGTCTTCAGCCAAAAATACATGGAATTAAATGGAATTAACTCTTCATTTCCCGCTCCTCCTTCCATGATTGTGGACGAGCTATTTTGGGAAGTACTTTTGTAAACACGAGTCGATTTACACTGCTCTACAAACGTGACGACACATTCCATTATTTACACACACACACACACACACACACACACACACACACACACACACACACACACACACACACACACACACACACACACACACACACACACACACACACACACACACACACACACACACACACACCTGAGAGAACGGCAGGAGCTAACGACACCGGACCCCTGTGATCCAGTTCCAGACCGCCACGCCGCTAAAGCTAATGCCCTGCTTTGTGAGTGAAATCCAAGATGGCCGATAGTAGGGTCATTGAACAGTGTCCGGTTCTATTCTCAGTAAGGTACGTTCAAAGAGACACCACCACTCTTATTTGTACAATAAGAGGACAATAATGTGTGTTCTCTGTGACGACAGCAGGATCTGGGTTTTGATGAGTCTTTTGTTGCTGTTGTCGTAGAGAATTGGCTCGAACTGTAGACCGTGGTCACGGGTTTATAGCAGGAGTGATGTGTTCTCAAACTAACTTACAATAAGTGGAATTCTCTCAGTGGCTGTTTGTTTTGAGGCTGTAAAAGTCTCACACTTTATACACTTTTCTAACCACCTAAACTCACGACTGCTGAAGAGAGAGAGAGACCAGAGAGAGACCAGAGAGAGACCAGAGAGAGACCAGAGAGAGACCAGAGAGAGACCAGAGAGAGACCAGAGAGAGAGCAGAGTGAGACCAGAGAGAGAGCAGACAGAGACTAGAGAGAGACCAGAGAGAGACCAGAGAGAGACCAGAGAGAGACCAGAGAGAGACCAGAGAGGGACCAAAGAGAGACCAGAGAGAGACCAGAGAGAGAGCAGAGAGAGACCAGAGAGAGACCAGACAGAGATCAGAGATTGACCAGAGAGAGACGAGAGAGAGAAGAGGGAGAGACCAGAGAGAGGGAGCAGAAACAGGCGAGAGAGAGAGCGCAGAGAGGGAGCAGAGACAGAGAGGAGAGAGACCAGAGAGAGAACAGAAAATTACTAGAGAGAGAGAGACCAGAGAAAGAGTTGTCTGAACTAATCCCTACACACCGTTTCGCCTTTGTCTGGACCGGGCCTAAGTCATCGGACGTCAGCACACAACCACAAACAACACACACACATGCAGTTTCTCTGTGCAGCCTCTCGAACAGCGACGGATGTGAATGCAGTCTTCTTCCAGACAACAAAGCAGGGATTGTGAGCAGGATTTGACGTACGTTGGAACGCTCCCCGCCTCCTCAGAACATGACTTTCTATGACACGTTTATCGCTGCATTGAAATAGTCGTTTTTGTCTTACGCACAATCATCACGCGGACGGACTAGTCATAGAAAGAACAAGCAAGCTCTGAATGAGAGGCAGCCCACGGGAGCAAGCGGTTTCCGGACTTGTGGGCTGGATCTACAGCCTCAGTACTGGATCTACAGCCTCAGTACTGGATCTACAGCCTCAGTACTGGATCTACAGCCTCAGTTCTGGATCTACAGCCTCAGTTCTGGATCTACAGCCTCAGTTCTGGATCTACAGCCTCAGTACTGGATCAACAGCCTCAGTTCTGGATCTACAGCCTCAGTTCTGGATCTAAAGCCTCAGTCCTGGGTCTAAAGCCTCAGTCCTGGGTCTACAGCCTCAGTCCTGGATCTACAACCTGTCAATCTGTGGAAGCGGATCTGCTGCTGTGATTTAGTGCTAAACACAAATACATCGATTTGCAGATGAGTCCAAGCATCAAGAATGTGGTTCATAAAGTTGGGAAATTACCATCGAAGGACACATTAAGCAAAATTGTCTTTATTTGAAACCATTTTCCAGCATTGGTCCCTCAGACACACACATATAGGACCAGGAGTCGTTCTTAGATAAATCCACACTAAAATATTAATAATACACTGTTAAAATGTGACACAGTTACTGAGCTAGAGGAGTTTGTTAAGCTAGCGAGTTAGCATTGTGCATCTATATACAGTCTATGATTCAAACAGACAGAAATACCGTGATATACGCTCATATAAAAGGGTTTGTCACAGAAACAATAGATTTTATTAAAATTCACAGTTTGAGCTTCAGGTTCACCTCAAGGTTTGTCTTTGTCCCCACTGTTGTTTTCAGTCTCCTCTACATTTAAGACGCTTCTGAAGACAGGTGCTGAAGGCCTCGTAAAGCTCAGGGATGTGTTTGTGTGTCGATAGTGTGTATTAGACTTGACTTTCTTCCACACAGTTGACATAGTCGGGCTCCTCGCTACTCTGTGGAAAACACATTTCAGACCAAAGTTTTCAGATATCAATTATATAAGGCTGGGCAAGTTCAATAGTTATTATCACGTTAACTCTTCAATCAATTAACGCCGACAATTATTTTATAGCGTATTAACACAGTTAACACATTGGTATGAGGGACAACAGGCGGCGAGCGACTGAGGGATTGAGGCCACCAAGGGAACCTAGAGTGACTGAGGGATTGAGGCCACCAAGGGAACCAAGAGTGACTGAGGGATTGAGGCCACCAAGGGAACCAAGAGCGACTGAAGGTTTGAGGCCACCAAGGGAACCAAGAGTGACTGAAGGTTTGAGGCCACCAAGGGAACCAAGAGTGACTGAGGGATTGAGGCCACCAAGGGAACCAAGAGCGACTGAGGGACTGAGGCCACCAAGGGAACCAAGAGCGACTGAGGGATTGAGGCCACCAAGGGAACCAAGAATGACTGATGGATTGAGGCCACCAAGGGAACCAAGAATGACTGAGGGATTGAGGCCACCAAGGGAACCTAGAGTGACTGAGGGATTGAGGCCACCAAGGGAACCAAGAGTGACTGAGGGATTGAGGCCACCAAGGGAACCAAGAGCGACTGAAGGTTTGAGGCCACCAAGGGAACCAAGAGTGACTGAAGGTTTGAGGCCACCAAGGGAACCAAGAGTGACTGAGGGATTGAGGCCACCAAGGGAACCAAGAGTGACTGAGGGATTGAGGCCACCAAGGGAACCAAGAGTGACTGAGGGATTGAGGCCACCAAGGGAACCAAGAGCGACTGAGGGACTGAGGCCACCAAGGGAACCAAGAGCGACTGAGGGATTGAGGCCACCAAGGGAACCAAGAATGACTGATGGATTGAGGCCACCAAGGGAACCAAGAATGACTGAGGGATTGAGGCCACCAAGGGAACCAAGAACGACTGAGGGATTGAGGCCACCAAGGGAAACAAGAGCGACTGAGGGACTGAGGCCACCAAGGGAACCAAGAGCGACTGAGGGACTGAGGCCACCAAGGGAACCAAGAGCGACTGAGGGACTGAGGCCACCGAGGGAAACAAGAGCGACTGAGGGACTGAGGCCACCAAGGGAACCAAGAGCGACTGAGGGACTGAGGCCACCAAGGGAACCAAGAGCGACTGAGGGACTGAGGCCACCAAGGGAACCAAGAGTGACTGAGGGATTGAGGCCACCAAGGGAACCAAGAGCGACTGAGGGATTGAGGCCACCAAAGGAACCAAGAGTGACTGAGGGATTGAGGCCACCAAGGGAACCAAGAGCAACTGAGGGATTGAGGCCACCAAGGGAACCAAGAGCGACTAAGAGCAGCGACCCAGCCTGCACCAGCGTGCCATTTCCACGCAGCGGCAGAGCAGGAAGGTTCTGCCTCGCCTGTGAGTACCCCTTCGTGGAGTACTGCTCCTTCAGTGGAGTGTTTTAAGTCTCGTCTGAAGACCCATTTTCATGCTCTGGCTTTTAACACTGTGTGAGTTGTATGGTCCTTTTTATTATATCTTCATTTTATTTTACTCCATCTTTTTATTGTTATTTTTATATTTATACATCTATGCACACACGGTTTTTTACATGTTTGATTTTTTATTATTTTTACTGTTTGACAATGGATTTGTTTTATTTAGTACTGTAATTTATTGTGCAGCACTTTGGAAACTGTGTTTATGAAATGTGCTATATAAATAAAGTGGATTGGATTGGATTGGATTAGCTGGTGCAGCCAGGAGAGCCTCAGACCCCAAGCAGCTGGTGGATCGCTGTTTTATATCCTGTGTACTGGCTCTGGTCTGTGGTAGGGAGCGTGGTGGAGAGGGAAGTGGCACCGTGACGCTGACTACACGCAGCAGCAGGGTGAGTGAATCCCTGCTGCTGCGCGTAAGTACCTCTAGTTGCTGTAGCAGTGCTATAAGAACATTTTGTTGGGTCTCTTGCTTGTGTGTTCGGCTGTGTGGTGCGCTGTCGTTTTCATCCTTGTGCCCAGGGGCGGAGCTGGACCGCAAGCAGAAGATGGTGCCGACTCGTTGAAGACGCAGGACTGAAAAACAAGCAGTATTCACCTGTTGACGTTGGGTCGCTCTGGTCTTAAAGAAGCTGCAACACATGCAGAATGTTGGACGGTGCACCAACCGGGGACTCCGTTATTCTCCTGGGGGACTTCAACGCGCATGTGGGAAAAGCCAGTGACACTTGGTGAGGGGTGATTGGGAAGAACGGCCCGCCCGGTCTGAATCCGAGCGGTGTTCAGTTGTTGGACGTCTGTGCCAGTCACGGTTTGTCCATCACGAACACCATGTTCGAGCACAAGGGTGTCCACCAGTGCACGTGGCACCAGGACACCCTAGGCCGGAGGTCGATGATCGACTTTGTTGTCATATCATCTGACCTTCGACCGCGTGTCTCGGACACTCGGGTGAAGAGAGGGGTGTCAACCGATCACCACCTGGTCGTGAGTTGGATCCGCTGGCAGGGGAGGAAGCCGGTCAGACCTGGCAGGCCCAAGCGTGTAGTGAGGGTTTGCTGGGAACGTCTCGCTGAGCTTTTTGACTTTCAACTCACACCTCCGGGAGAGCTTCTCCCAGGTCCCGGCGGAGGAGGGGGACATTGAGTCCGAGTGGACCATGTTCTCTTCCTCTATCGCCGATGCGGCGGCTCATAGCTGTGGTCGCAGGGTCTCTGGTGCTGGTCCCGGCGGCAATCCCCAAACCCGGTGGTGGACACCGGCAGTAAGGGATGCCGTCAGGTTGAAGAAGGAGTCCTATCGAGCAATGATGGTTCATGGGACTCCTGAGGCAGCTGTCCAGTATCGGCAGGCCAAGCGCGCTGCGGTCCGGCGCCTTAGGAGGGGGAAGCAGTTCTTTGCCAACACTGTGTACGGTGCGGGTGGAGAGCTGCTGACCTCAACCGGGGATATTGTCGGGCGGTGGAAGGAATACTTCGAGGTTCTCCTCAATCCCCCTGTCACGTCCTCCGCCCTGGAGGCAGAGGCGGAGGATGTTGGGGAGGATACTTCCATCTCCCTGGCAGAGGTCACCAAGGTGGTTGGCAGCCCCCATGGTGGCAAGGCGCCGGGAGTGGATGAGATCCGTCCTGACTATCTAAAGTCTCTGGATGTTGTAGGACTGTCTTGGCTGACACGTCTCTGCAACATCGCGTGGCAATCGGGGACGGTGCCAATGGAGTGGCAGACCAGGGTGGTGGTCCCTCTCTACAAGAAGGGGGACCGGAGGGTGTGTTCCAATTATCGTGGGATCACACTCCTCAGCCTCCCTGGTAAGGTTTACTCCAAGGCTGGAGAGGAGGCTACGGCTGATGGTCGAATCTCGGATTCAGGAGGAGCAGTGTGGTTTTCGTCCCGGTCGCGGAACACTGGACCAGCTCTATACTCTCCATCGGATACTCGAGGGTTCATGGGAGTTCTCCCAACCTGTCCACATGTGCTTTGTGGATTTGGAGAAGGCGTTCGACCGTGTTCCCCGGGGTGTACTCTGGGGGGTTCTCCGGGAGTACGGGGTCCGGGGTCCTCTGCTGAGGGCCGTCCGGTCCCTGTATGACCGGAGCCAGAGCTGTGTTCGCATTGCCGGCAGTAAGTCAGACCTGTTCCCGGTGCATGTTGGCCTCCGACAGGGCTGCCCTTTGTCACCGGTTCTGTTCACTGTGTTCATGGACAGAATTTCTAGGCGCAGCCAGGGGTCGGAGGGGGTCCGGTTCGGGGACCACAGGATTTCATCTCTGCTGTTTGAGGATGATGTCGTCCTGTTGGCTCCAACGAACCGGGACCTGCAACATGCACTGGAGCGGTTTTGCAGCCGAGTGTGAAGCGGCTGGGATGAGAATCAGCCCCTGCAAATCTGAGGCCATGGTGCTCGACCGGAAAAAGGTGCCTTGCCCTCTTCAGGTGGGTGGAAAGGTCCTTCCTCAAGTGGAGGAGTTCAAGTATCTCGGGGTCTTGTTCACGAGTGAGGGAAGGATGGAGCGTGACATTGACAGGCGGATCGGTGCAGCGTGCGCAGTGATGCGGTCTCTGTATCGGACCGTTGTGGTGAAGACGGAGCTGAGCCGAAAGGCAAAGCTCTGGATTTACCGGTCAATCTTTGTTCCCTCCCTCACCTATGGTCATGAGCTTTGGGTAATGACCGAAAGAACGAGATCGCGGATACAAGCGGTCGAAATGAGCTTCCTCCGCAGAGTGGCTGGGCGCTCCCTTAGAGATAGGGTGAGGAGCTCAGTCCCACAGGAGGAGCTCGGAGTAGAGCCGCTGCTTCTTCACGTCGAGAGGAACCAGTTAAGGTGGCTCGGGCATCTGTTCCAGATGCCTCCTGGACGCCTCCCTGGGGAGGTGTTCTGGGCACGTCCCACCGGGAGGAGGACCCGGGAAGACCCAGGACACGCTGGAGGGACTATGTCTCTCAACTGGCCTGGGAGCGCCTTGGGGTCCCCTCAGACGAGCTAGAGGAAGTGTGTGTGGATAGGGAAGTCTGGGCGTCTCTGCTTAGACTGCTGCCCCCGCGACCCGGCAACGGATGAAGCGGAAGAAGATGGAATGATCAGAAAGCTCCATCCCCCAGGCTCAGGACTCTAGAGTTCTGATCCTGGATTCTAAAGACTTGGTGATATCAGATTGTACTGTTAATAATAATATATCAAAGAACTGGTACCTCCCAGGGTCAGGACAGTAGAGTTCTGGTCCCCGACTTGGTTCTTGGCTTGACAGAAGTATCGTCCTGGACTGGTGTGGTTGATGGTGTAGAGGTCTCCTTCATGGACTCGTTGTGGTCCCTGTGGTGAGAGCCTGAACCAGCTGAAGCTGAGGTCTGGAGGCCAGGCTCTGCTGGAGCAGCTCAGGGTCAAAGAGACAGAGGTGTTTCCCTCCACGAGAACAGTCGTGTGTTTAGGAGAATCTGAGGAGACACGACACAAGCCACTAAACAGTATAAATACTAAGAATTTAAGTCATTGAAGTGTGTGAAGACGCTGTAGTTAGATTATCTGTTGGGATTAGGAGCTGCAAGGGCAGCAGTCTGAGTAGAGACGCTCAGACCCTCTTCACTCCCTCCAGCTCATCTGGGGGAATCACAACTTCCACTGTTCGGCAACATCCCCAGTTGGTATCAGCAACTCTCCACATGAACCGTCATGTTCCATGGAATAAGGTTCTACAACAGTGTGACAGCCCCACACTAATGTGTTGTCTGTCTGTTGGAGGTGTCTCTCAACTTCCCCCACGAGCTCGGGCCCTCCCCCAGTGAGGTGATGTTCCATGCCCCAAGAGCCAGATGGTAGCTGGGTCATTGAGTTTTTTGCCCTTAACTGCCGCCCGGTTCTGTTCACCCCACGCCCGTGGATCCTTCTGTGGGTGGTGTGACATGTACATTTCTCCTGTGTGAGATCAATAAAGTCGATCTTGCCTAATCTTATCGTATAATATTTGCGTGAATCCAATGATGTGCTTGGTCTGACCCGTGATCTCGGACCTGTTTTCCCTCGACCAGGGACATGAAGCCCCAAACTACAAACTACACAGTTCCTAGGATCGTCTGCGTACTCTAACTCCCCCACCAGTCTAAGTCAAAGAAATGCACTTCAATTACAATTATTTTAGTATAGCCATAATTCACAACAGCAGTTACAGTTATCCAAGAGGACTGAATGAAGTTGGCGATTCGCCAACACAGATCAGAGAATAAAATAGTTCAAATACACTGTTTCCCATAACTCACGGTCCACGGTGAGGGTCATTGTGGTCTTTGCCGCCTTGTGTCCTCCTCTCACTGGATACCAGGCGGAGCAGAGCAGCTCCAGTCCGTGGTGCTCCTCAGACAACAGCAGGCTCTGCTGGATGATGCTGTTGAAGGTTCCATCAGGGTTTGGCAGCAGGCTGTGAGCAGGTGTCTGCTGCAGGCTCCAGCTGAGAACAGGAGGAGCGTCTGGACATGGAGTGAGAGCAGAGCAGCTGATGACCACAGTCTGCTGCTCCCTGAGAGAACCAGAGATCTGCACTGAGGGCCTCCAGGCAGAGTCTGCAACAGAGACAGACCTTTATACTGTTCTCACTGTCTGCAACAGAGACAGGCCTTTATACTGTTCTCACTGTCTGCAACAGAGACAGACCTTTATACTGTTCTCACTGTCTGCAACAGAGACAGGCCTTTATACTGTTCTCACTGTCTGCAACAGAGACAGGCCTTTATACTGTTCTCACTGTCTGCAACAGAGACAGACCTTTATACTGTTCTCACTGTCTGCAACAGAGACAGGCCTTTATACTGTTCTGTCTGCAACAGAGACAGGCCTTTATACTGTTCTCACTGTCTGCAACAGAGACAGGCCTTTATACTGTTCTCACTGTCTGCAACAGAGACAGGCCTTTATACTGTTCTCACTGTCTGCAACAGAGACAGACCTTTATACTGTTCTCACTGTCTGCAACAGAGACAGGCCTTTATACTGTTCTCACTGTCTGCAACAGAGACAGGCCTTTATACTGTTCTCACTGTCTGCAACAGAGACAGGCCTTTATACTGTTCTCACTGTCTGCAACAGAGACAGGCCTTTATACTGTTCTCACTGTCTGCAACAGAGACAGGCCTTTATACTGTTCTCACTGTCTGCAACAGAGACAGACCTGTATACTGTTCTCACTGTCTGCAACAGAGACAGGCCTTTATACTGTTCTCACTGTCTGCAACAGAGACAGACCTGTATACTGTTCTCACTGTCTGCAACAGAGACAGACCTGTATACTGTTCTCACTGTCTGCAACAGAGACAGACCTTTATACTGTTCTCACTGTCTGCAACAGAGACAGGCCTTTATACTGTTCTCACTGTCTGCAACAGAGACAGGCCTTTATACTGTTCTCACTGTCTGTGTCACAGGGTAGACGCACAGCGCACTTTGTTTTTATGCATGCTTTTATTTTGAAATGTGTTTTGTGTGCCGCACTGTGTGTTTTTACTTCCTGTTTTTTTATCCTCATACCTGTGGCAGCTTCCACTGATTTTAACGAATGGACATAGACACTGGGGGCTGGAGCCAATGAAAAAAGGGTTTTTAAACAGACTATGGGGGAGGACACTGGACTGGGCCAAAGGAGAGGCACCGCCAGCCAGAGACCACGGGGGACTGAGGCCAGCGGGGAGAGCGGCACCGGTGATGGGCGCGCATTGAAAGCGCAGAGAGGCGTGTGTGCACCGGGCTAGGCCCAACATCACGAATGGAATGTGCCCGCTCTCCCCTGCGTGTGCCCAGTGGCAACCCGTGGGCGGCAAGTGGCTGGCAAGACTGCGGCCCCGTCCCGGGCAGAGAACACAGGTTGACGACAGAGCGTCTTGGGCGACCGAGGAGAGGAGGCAACGGAGAACGGCAGCAGCAGTCAGCAGTACCTGCACAGGACCCACGGAAAGCCAGAGCGCGACGCGGACTACACGCAGCGGGCAGAGTTTCTCTGCCCGTGCCTGTAAGTAACATTGTAGTGCTCTGGTCGGGCATACGGCTGCTGCTGGCCGATAGAAATCTGTTTTTAAGGAGTTTTACTGTGGGAGACCCGTTTTTGTTTCAGGGAGGGGCCTGGCCAGCCATTCCCTCGTGTGGAGCCAGAGCACGACGTGACATCACCGCAGCTGGCAGAGTTTCTCTGCCCGTGCACGTAAGTGACCTTTAGTGCTCTGGCCGGGATTCATCCCACTTTTAACCTACAGATTTCTATTTTTAAAAAGAACGTTTTACTGCCTCCTGCTCCTCTGGTTTTAGGTCTGCTGCCTTGGGAACGCGGAGTTGCCCCTGTCCTTACTGGACTTTTAACTGGACTTTGCTTTTATATTTTTAGTATTTTATTCTGTAATTTTATTTGTAATAAATTGTTTTATCCCTTTTAAAACTCTGGTTTTTACACTGCTCACCTTGTTTTTAAGAACCTTCCTTTATTGAGTCCTAGTCTCATTTTTAAAACTAGGTGGCGTTGCTTTCCCTTTTTTTATGCTACTCGGCCACATCTATTTTGGCGTTGCGTGGCAGGATTCAAGCTTGAGCAGTGTATAACCAAAGACTTCTTTTTAACATTTTATTACTGTTTTATTGTTTTTAAAGTTGTTTTATTTTTTTAAGATGATGATGATGCCAGTGTATCCTGGAGCTCCTTGGCTGCCAAAATTCCAAGGTCCTAACAGTGATGTGAAGTATGGGGACTGGAAGGAACAAATATCTGGTATTCTAAACTCACAAGATTTGGCTGAAACTAGAAAAGTTGACATTTTATTGGGTGCTTTGGCTGGTGAGGCAAAGTTACAAATCAAGGTGCTAGACTCTGTTGAGCGGGACCAGTCACGGAAAATATTTGCACACCTTGATTCTCTGTATGGTGACTATACCCCAGTTTCAGTTCTTAGAGCTCAGTTCTTTGGGTGTGTACAGAAACCAAGTGAGTCAGTTAAAGTTTTCACTCTCCGCCTGAGGGAAATCTATTGCAGGCTACGGCGGCATGACCCTGATGATGCACCTTCTGAGCACAACCTACAGGACCAAATGTTGCTGGGACTGCAAGAAGGACCTCTCTCTCAGACACTCCGCACATACGTGCGTAGAAATCCAGACCTTGATTTTGCTGCTGTACACAAGGAGGCACTGCTACTGGAGGAAGAGCAGCGTGGACAGAGGGGCCTTGACACCTCATGTCATGCTATTGGTGAGTCCAACCAAAACCACACACAGTACACACCCAATTGGAAAGAGGCCTTAAAACAAGATATTATGAATGATGTGAAAGACCAAATGAAAGGAATGGCTCAAGAAATAATCAATGAATTAAAACCACTTCTGCAACACACTGGGCTGGACCATTCTCCCAGGCCACACCACTACCAAGCCAGGCCCAAGCGCAGATACCAAGGCAATAATGACTGGACTCGGGATGGGAAGCCCATATGTAGGAAGTGCGATCAGGCTGGCCACATGGCTAGGTTCTGCAGAAATATAAACTCTTCCAACACGCCGCCTTTAAACTAATTCCTCCTGCTGCTGAGGCCCAAGCAGTAGGGATTGCCTCACAGGCTGACCACCAGGGGGCCACCTCGCAGTTTGTTGGTAGATGCCCGACCATTGAAGTATCTGTTGGTGGAGTCAAAATGACAGCTTTATTAGACACTGGTTCACAAGTCACTTTAATACAACAGAAAGTTATGCACCAGCACTTTTCAGATGTAGAAAAAGGCTCGGCCCCCTTGGTTTTAACACTTAAAGCTGCAAATGGCCTCACAATACCATACTCTGGCTATGCAATAATGAACTTTGAAATAGAGGGTGTTAAAATCCCGGACAAGGGTGTTGTCATCGTTAAAGATGATTGCTCCACTCATCCACTGTTAATTGGGATGAATGTTATTGGTGCCTGTTAGGATGCTGTTTTTAAACCGGGAGATGCAGTTGTTAATCCCCAGAAGTGGCAGTCTCAGAGACCGTGGCGGGAGGCATTTGCTGTGTGTCGGAGAACCATTGCCACCACCCCAGAGGATGGGTTCATGGGCTATGTGCGTCCTGCCGCCCGGCAGTCAGTTTGGGTACCTCCTAAGAGTGAACTTATTGTGTGGGGTCGCACCTGTACTGGGCCGGGTGGGAAAGATTACTCTGCTGTACTGGAGGCTATGCCCGACGCAGAGGCATGGGGAGTAGCCAGAACCCTTGCCGTGGTTAAAAATGGGCGTGTCCCCGTTCGCGTCTGCAACCCCCACCCTTACCCAGTTTCGATAGGGCGCTATCAAAACCTGGGCAGGTTATACCAGGTGGAGGAGGCTGACGTCCAGGGAGCCCGTGACCTGAGCCTGAGCATCGGTCCAGATGGTGTTGTGGAAGTTGGCATGGTGGACACCCGGAGCCCAGAGAGAAACTCAAACGAGGAGGTGAGCAAACTCATTGATTCAACATGCTTAACGCCACAACAGCAGTCCGAGCTCCGCTCACTCCTGGAGAAGTGGATGAAGGTTTTTGCGTCAGATGAGGAGGATTTCGGGAGGACTGACCTGGTCCAACATCGCATCCATACTGGAGAAGCCCCGCCCATCAAGGAAAGGTACAGGCCATTACCACCTAGCATGTACAAAGAGATAAAGACATTGCTTGCAGACATGCTGGAAAAAGGCGTAATACGTGAAAGTTGTAGTCCCTGGGCTGCGCCTATAGTGCTTGTCCGTAAAAAGGATGGAAGTTGGCGATTTTGTGTGGATTACAGAAAGCTAAACGCAATAACGCACAAAGATGCCTTCCCACTTCCACGCATTGAAGAGACACTGACTAGTCTCACTAGGGCAGAATGGTTCACCACACTCGACTTGGCTAGTGGCTACTGGCAGGTAGAGATGGACAAAAGGGACCGTGAAAAGACTGCCTTCACGACACCTATGGGACTCTTCGAGTTTGAGCGTATGCCTTTTGGGCTTTGCAACGCCCCTGCAACATTTCAGCGCCTAATGCAACAATGCCTAAGTGGCCAAATAACAGAATCGCTTTTAGTGTACCTTGATGATGTGATAATTTACTCACCCGACTTTTCCTCTCACCTGCAGCATCTTGAGGAAGTCTTTCAAAGGCTGTGGCAACATGGACTCAAATTGCGGATGGACAAATGCAACATTTTCCAACATGAGGTGAAGTTTTTGGGGCACATTGTAGACAAGGCTGGGGTGAGGCCAGATCCAGAGAAAGTCTCTTCAGTTGTAGAATGGCCCATACCCTCTACTGTTAGGGAGGTTAGAGCCTTTCTAGGCCTAGCTGGCTATTACAGACGCTTTGTGCCAAATTTTGCCAAAATCGCTCGACCGATAAATGCACTTTTAACTGGGGTCTCTGTAAAGAAGAAGTCTGAGGTGAACGTCCTTTGGTCACCAGAATGTCAGATTTCATTTGAACAGTTAAAATCTGCCCTGACAAAGCCGCCCATCTTGGCCTATGCAGACTTTTCAAAACCTTTTGTTGTTTACACTGATGCCAGTAACCAAGGCCTTGGTGCAGTCCTAGCCCAGGTACAAGACGGCCGTGAGCGCGTCATAGCCTACGCCAGCCGCAGTTTGCATCCAACTGAAAAGAACGATGCAAACTACAGCTCATTCAAGCTGGAACTGCTGGCCCTAAAATGGGCTATAACCGAAAAGTTTAAGGACTACCTTACTGGTGGTAAATTTACAGTATTTACAGACAACAACCCCGTAGCCCACCTCCAAACAGCCCGGTTAGGCGCTGTAGAGCAGCGCTGGGTTGCCCAGCTTGCCTCTTTTGATTACCAGGTGAAGTATCGAGCAGGACGGGAAAATGCAAATGCGGACGCCCTTTCCCGGTTTCCCTGTGACCCCACGACGGTAGTAGAGGGCCGTGTTTCCCAGCTGACCGCAGCCACGGATACAAATACTGAACCGGAACTGGAGTTGTGTCTGTCAGAGGATTGGGAGACTGTACAAAAGGATGATGTGGACATTCAAACTGTGGCAAGGTATGTGGCGGAGAAATCTATGCCAGATGCACCCACCAGACGCGCACTCACTGCTACAGCTCAAAAGCTACTACAACAATGGGACAAACTCGCAATTGTAAATAGTGTGCTGTGTCGAAGGGTCAAGAACCCCAGAACTCTCGAGATTTGTGTCCAGGTTGTGTGCCCTTCAGCGAAGCGGCAGGAGGTTTGGAAGCGATACCATGAGGCAGCCGCACATGCAGGAGCAGAACGAACTCTCTCCCGAATAAGGCAGTTTTTCTACTGGCCCGGCATGGATGCAGAGGTGCGTCAGTTCCAACAGGGTTGTGTCGTCTGTAGTCTGCAGAATAGGGCTCAACCAAAGGCCCCATTACACCCCTTTGTTACCACCTATCCCTTAGAGGTAATAAGCATAGATTACCTCACATTGGGTAGAGCCACGGACAGAGTACAGAATATTCTTGTAATGACAGACCAGTTCACCCGTTATGCCTGGGCGGTACCTACTAGAGATCAGACAGCTGAAACAACAGTTAAAGCTCTATGGTCTAATGTGATCCAGGTCTTTGGCTGCCCAGCCAGATTTCACTCTGACCAAGGTGCTAATTTCGAGTCCGCTATTGTCCAGCAACTTTGCCAGCTTTACGGGATAAACAAGAGTAGGACAACTCCTTACCACCCGGCTGGGAATGGTACCGTGGAGAGAATGAATCAGACCCTCTTGAACATCGCTCGAGGCTGAGAGGCAGAATAGGTGGCCAGAGTATTTGCCAGAATTGCTGGCCGCCTACAATAACACTGCCCACAGTACCACAGGGTACGCGCCAGCATTTTTAATGTTTGGCCGGCACTTGAGACAGCCAGTGGACTTAGGTCTAGGGGTGAGTAGGCAGCCGCAAGTCTATGACTTGGAGGGGTGGGTCAGAGACCACCACCAGAAACTCTCCTTTGCCTACAGTCTGGCTCGGCAAAATTCTGCGAAAGCCGCAGAACATAACAAACAAACCTATGACAGAAGGGCCCATGCCTTACCATTAGCCCCGGGAGAGAGGGTGTGGGTGAGAGATAGGAATAGGAAGGGACAAGGCAAGCTGCACCCGGGGTGGGATCCTGAGCCCCATGTTGTCTTGGAGTTATTGGGAGGTACTGGGTTGGTCTATAAAATCAGGCCCGAAAGAGGGGGTAGAGAGAAGACCATGCACCGAAATTCCCTTAAACCCTGTATTGGTCCTGTAAACAAAGCCACTGAGCGGACTCCAGAAACTCCCATAGAGCAGAATGTGCCTAACCAGTCCCCATACTATTTATTTTTAAACCCACCTGTAAACCCACCTGTAAACCCGCCAGCTCCGAGCTCACGGCGCTCGGGCAGATCAAACTTGGGACAGCCACCAGTACGTTTTAGACCAGACGAAGACTGAGGTGACAGGGACTGCCACCCTTAAAGTTTGGGGGGATGTCACAGGGTAGACGCACAGCGCACTTTGTTTTTATGCATGCTTTTATTTTGAAATGTGTTTTGTGTGCCGCACTGTGTGTTTTTACTTCCTGTTTTTTTATCCTCACACCTGTGGCAGCTTCCACTGATTTTAACGAATGGACATAGACACTGGGGGCTGGAGCCAATGAAAAAAGGGTTTTTAAACAGACTATGGGGGAGGACACCGGACTGGGCCAAAGGAGAGGCACCGCCAGCCAGAGACCACGGGGGACTGAGGCCAGCGGGGAGAGCGGCACCGGTGATGGGCGCGCATTGAAAGCGCAGAGAGGCGTGTGTGCACCGGGCTAGGCCCAACATCACGAATGGAATGTGCCCGCTCTCCCCTGCGTGTGCCCAGTGGCAACCCGTGGGCGGCAAGTGGCTGGCGAGACTGCGGCCCCGTCCCGGGCAGAGAACACAGGTTGACGACAGAGCGTCTTGGGCGACCGAGGAGAGGAGGCAACGGAGAACGGCAGCAGCAGTCAGCAGTACCTGCACAGGACCCACTGAAAGCCAGAGCGCGACGCGGACTACACGCAGCGGGCAGAGTTTCTCTGCCCGTGCCTGTAAGTAACATTGTAGTGCTCTGCTCGGGCATACGGCTGCTGCTGACCGATAGAAATCTGTTTTTAATGCGTTTTACTGTGGGAGACCCGTTTTTGTTTCAGGGAGGGGCCTGGCCAGCCATTCCCTCGTGTGGAGCCAGAGCACGACGTGACATCACCGCAGGCCTTTATACTGTTCTCACTGCGGGACATGGACACAAGGCAACTGGATTTGTATAGCACAACTCCTGCACAAGGAGCTTTTAGACATGCTGCAAGGGAAATGTCTCTCACTTGCTGGTCTCTTGCTGATCTATCTCTCTCTGGTCTCTTGCTGGTCTCTCTCTCGCTGGTCTCTCTCGCTGGTCTTCATGTAGCCCTCAGTCCTGCTCCTCATGGTCCTCTGCAGCTGTGTTTTTCAGCAGAGGTTTTGACAAATGCAGCAGCGCTCTTACAATAAGAGCTTTGATATCTCTGGTTCCGCTCACTGGCCTCTTTTGGTCTCTCTCTCTTTCTGGTCTCCTCTGGTCTCTCTCTGGTCTCTCTCTCTTCAGCAGTCTTTCCGGAGGTTAGAAAAATGTATAAAGTGTGAGGGGTTTTACAGCCTTAAATCAAACAGCTGTATGTTTGTGTCGGTTTCAGTTTTACAAACATTTAAAAAGTCATTACCTCAGTACTGAGTGAGGACAGAGTTAAGGAAGAGTGTCTCACCTCGGACGTGTATCTGCAGCGGGTCACAGGTGGCAGTGCTCTTGAACCCTTGGTTTTCTATTCTGAGGTAATATTTATCAGAATGACTGGTGTGGATCTCAGTGAACAGAGTGGTGCAGTTTCGCTGTCGCAGGTCTCCAGTTAAAGTCATTGGAGAACTGAGGTCGGGATCAGAACTGTCAAAGAACTTTTCCTCTCCAGGTCGTCCAAAGTAGGGACGTGTTTTACTCCAAATGGCCACAACAGGTTTGTCCAGTTGTATCTTATTTTCATGAACAGGAGCCAAAGTGAAAGTGCAGGGAATCAGCAAACATGTTCCACTCAGAGCCTCCAGGTTTCCAACTGAGACGTTGAAAGCTGGAACATACTCACATTTAGAAGCTCCTGAAACATAGACTGAAAGACAGAAACCACAGTTACAAAAGACCAAGTCAAGTCCAAGTCAAGTCCAAGTCAAGTCCAAGTCAAGTCCAAGTCAAGTCCAATCCAAATAAAGTCCAAGTCCAAATATAGTCTAACTCAAGTCCAAGTCAAGTCCATGTCAAGTCCATGTCAAGTCCAAGTCAAGACCAAGTCAAGTCCAAGTCAAGTCCAAGTCAAGTCCAATCCAAATAAAGTCCAAGTCCAAATATAGTCTAACTCAAGTCCAAGTCAAGTCCATGTCAAGTCCATGTCAAGTCCAAGTCAAGTCCAAGTCAAGTCCAAGTCAAATCCAAATCAAGTCCACGTCAAGTCCAAGTCGAATCCAAATAAAGTCTAAATAAAGTCCAAGTCCAAATATAGTCTAACTCAAGTCCAAGGCAAGTCCAAGTCCAAGTCCAAGTCCAAGTCCGAGTCCAAGTCCAAGTCCAAGTCCAAGTCAAGTCCAAGTCAAGTCCAAGTCAAGTCCAAATCCAAATCCAAATCCAAGTCCAAGTCCAAGTCAAGTCAAAATCCAAATCAAGTCCAAGGCAAGTCCAAGTAGTAAGTAGTAGTAAGTAATCTTTATTTATATACCGCCTTTTCACTGCACGTCGAAGTCTCAAAGCGGTTTACAATTGTGATATTTTGGGAGTTGTTGTCCGCAATTAATAATTTTGGACACTATGCTGGCTAGAGCTATAGGCCTGTAGTTTTCAGAAGAGCCAACCTTCCCAGTTTTATCTTTTATGACTGAGACCAATAATACAGATAAAACCGAGTTTGGTAGAAAGCCGTGAACAACAGAGAGTGTTGTGCTGTTTTAAAATGTAGTAAAGTGTCTGATGATGGAGGAGTTATGAGTAGGACAGTCCTGATGATGTCTACAATGTTAAAGAGCTCACCTGAGCACAGGAGCAGTACGAGGACCATCTGTGAGTCCATGTCCGAGCCCTGACCCTGCCGCCGTCTCTCTGTTCACTTTGAACTCAGACGGTTTGGTTCGATCCGTCGTCGTTCTGTCCAAGTCTGGTTTGAATATTCATGTTTTTCTTTAGGTTTTTAAAAGTGTTGGAGGTGTGAGTGTGACTGTGGGGGAAGACTTCTGCTGCAATCACTTCCTCTAAACACAACTTCTCTCTTGTACAATACAGATAAGAATACTTTTTTTTTTATCAGAATCAGAATTATTTTTATTTCTAATTTAAGGAACAGGAAGTCACAAACTAACACTTTGCTTTGGCTTGAGTTGCATTAAGTTGTAAGAGTAAAAGTTAAGGCCATGCATTAAACAAATATTACAATTTCTTAAATGTACTACTATATACAAGTGCATAAGTACACACAATAGAAATTTAGCAGAGCAGTAAAGAGACAGTAGCATAAAGCAGAGATGCACAGTTTCTGGACCCGCAAGTCAAGTCCAAGTCCAAGTCAAGTCCAAGTCAAGTCCAAGTCAAGTCCAAGTCTCACACATAACCTTTATGGCCAATACAACTTATAAGCTTATTGATGCAGAATAGTGCCTTTTATTTTGCCACAGCTGCTCTGATTGTTCTGGTGATGCAGGTGTTTGCTGTGAGTTCTTCTTTAAGCTTTGAGCTCAGACAAGAATGCACTATACGCACGATCACGGCCAAAGATTGCGTACACTTACAGCCTGTGTAGAGGCTACTGTGAAATGGATGGATCTGAAGTGTCAGCAGGCCATGCCATAGAACTCGCAATGTTCACTAGTCCAAAAACCACAAGTCTGAGTCAAGTCCCAAGTCCGTAGGGGACGAAACCAAGTCCGACAAGCGAGTCCCCATCTCTGGCATAAAGTGACAGTAGCATAAGGGCAGGGCACAGAGATGAGTTATGAAGTCTTCATGAGTCCAACAGCAGAGGCGAAGAAAGTGTTCTATTGGAGAAGGTTCTAGTCCAGACTGTACCATCCTGCCTGAGGGGAGGGGATGGAACAGTCCATGTGCAGGTGAGAGGGGAGTGGTTGGAACAGTCCATGTGCAGGTGTTTGATCGGTTTGATTTTCTGATTTCTTGTTGGTGAATCACCTACTTTGTAAAGTCCTCCCAGACAACTGCTGCTGTGATTTAGTGCTAAACACAAGTACATCGATTTGCAGATGTGTCCAAGCATCAAGAATGTGGTTCATAAAGTTGGGAAATTACCATTAAAGGACACATTAAGAAAAATTATCTTTATTTGAAACCATTTTCCAGCATTGGTCCCTCAGACACACACATACAGGACCAGGAGTCGTTCTTAGATAAATCCACACTAAAACATTAATAATACACTGTTTGAATGTGACACAAACAGTTACTGAGCTAGAGGAGTTCATTAAGCTAGCGAGTTAGCATTGTGCGTCTATACAGTCTATGATTCAAACAGACAAAAAGGCCGTGATATACGCTCATATAAAAGGGTTTGTCACAGAAACAATAGATTTTATTAACATTCACAGTTTGAGCTTCAGGTTCACCTCAAGGTTTGTCTTTGTCCCCACTGTTGTTTTCAGTCTCCTCTACATTTAAGACGCTTCTGAAGACAGGGGCTGAAGGCCTCGTAAAGCTCAGGGATGTGTTTGCGTGTCAATAGTGTGTATTAGACTTGACTTTCTTCCACACAGTTGACGTAGTCGGCCTCCTCGCTCCTCTGTGGAAAACACAAAAACACATTTCAGACCAAAGATTTCAGATATCAATTATATCATGCACTAATGTTGTATTCAGAAACTTTTCTAAGGGTGCCCTGGCCAGAGCCATTCCTAGACTTCTGGAGGCCCGAAGCAAAAGCGGCTGAGGCCCCTCTTGAGGGTCTGTGCCTGTGTTTTATTTATGGGCACACATAAGAATGTTTACTTTTCCATTTTAATGAAAAACCCGGGGGGGAAAATCAGTAAAACACAGCTACTTCACAGTTCTACCAAATCCAATCTTCTTTTTGCTGCTAGCGTGTTTGAGTCTTATCGCAAATAAATGAACGGGTCACTTTTATATCGTGCTTTTCTACTGTCGAAAATGAGACAAGTTGCAGATCAATCTGGGATCGTGTCGCATACAGAAGACATGTTTTATTGTCGACGGTAAAGACGAGACACAGACATGGATTTCAAAGCATGGAGGAATATGGAGGCATCAAAAACAGACCAATCAGCAATGGCCATAGCGCAAGTAGCTCCGGTCTTCAGACCAAAACATGAAGTGGAAAATCACTGAGTCCTGCACACTGGCATAATGATGAGTTCAACTTTAGCTTTATAAAACATCCATACTACCTTTTCAGCACCCTCAAAGAACCACCCACACACATTCATGCAGCAAAAGACACTGGTTAAGTGCCTTGCCCAAAGACACTGGGCAGTAATCACAGCTGGAGTCGCACCTGCTCGACCTGTGGCTCAGTTGACCAACCAGGTTTAAGTCCTGACCTTCAGCTCAGAGACACTCACTCTACCAACTCAATTCAATGTACTTGTGTATCGCCCTAAATCACAACAGCAGTGGTGTCGGGGGACTCTACACAGTTGTCGATTCACCAACAGCAAATCAGAGAATCAAACAATTCGGGCGGGATGACCACTGTCCATAAATGTCCGTAAATGTCCTGGATCATCACTGCCATTAGACCCTCCTGCATCAACAAAGAACCACTCAAAAAAGTGAGAAACCTCGGGGAGATCCATATCGAGAGAGGGATCCACTCCCATGGATGTACGGGCTGGAGATCAGGATTCAGTCTGTAGAACGAGGACTTAAAAACAAGCAGTATTCACCTGTTGACGTTGGGTCGCTCTGGTCTTAAAGAAGCTGCAACACATGCAGAATCTCATCAGAGTAAAGATCTGAGTTGGGAACTTTTTTGGAGGAAATGTTCTCACCACTCAACGAAGAGCAGAGCGCAGCAAAGACCAACAATCCCGATTATCTTCAGGACGGTGTAAAGACTCAAGTGGACGTCTGCAACATCTGCAACATCTGCCATTAGAATGTAAAAGGACAGTTTCAGTTGTAGGGTAAGAATAATGTAGTAAGCTATAAATTGTAAGAGAAGAATAGTGCGGCTAGTCTCCAAATCAGAGTCTGGCCGTTCTATTCGAGTGGGGGATCTGCTTTTAATTTTTGGGCACCAGCAGAGTTAAAACTTCTGCACAGATCCAACTAATTTGCCTCGAATCAGTCTTATAATCTAATAGGTAGTGAATGCGTATATCGGCCAGTGATATCCGAGATTTAAAAACACGACGCTTAAATGATTGAGTTAAAGTTTAACGTGGGTTTATTGACTACAAAAATGAAGATAGAAAATATAACGAAAAGGATTTCTGGTCACATTAAACAGAAGTTGTATGCATCTCATTCGAATCACACTTCCAACAAAGAACAGTCTTACTTTGTGCAGTCCAAGGGAGGTGGGCGATGGAAAGATGATGGTGGAGGATGGAGCTGGAAGGATGAGGATGAAGAATAGGATGGAGGCGATGTTCTCATCCACGTGGTCTCTTTTGTCCGGGCAGGCGGGAGATACGAAGCCAGCGAATGCAGTCCAACTTTGGGTCCGTGCATATACAACTCAGTCCGGAATGAGCTGCCGGCGTTGGTCCAGAGCCAGAAAGAGGCTGGTGGTGGAACAGTTCATACAATCCCGAGCCAGGAAGGAGGTCTGTATTCGGAGTGGAAGGCCCAATGCGTGCAGGCGCGGCCGGAGTAGAAGACCCATACCGCTGGACGAAAAGGGCAGGAGGGTTGC